TAAGGTCTGAGAAGAGAACCTTCCATATTAGGAGCGGATGTGTGAGGTTTTTTTTTTTTTTTTTTTTTTTTTTTTTTTTTTTTTTTTTTTTTTTTGGAAGGATATAATTTGGGGGTGAGTTGAATTTAGGCGACTTGCTCCTAATAGGAGATGCTGCTACTTCGTAGACTTGGAAATGTCAAGATGATTACTTTGCGCAATTACTGTTTCGTTCACAAGGACCTGCTAGCTAACTTACACACCCAGAGTTCTGCGCCCTCTGCAAAGTCCGAGGACGGAATGCATCCAAGAACCAAGGAAAAGAAAATAGAAACACAACGAACAAAAACAGAGAAGTGAAAACAGGATCTAAGTTACACAATGGCTGCATGTCGTTCCGTCAACCCATAGACACAAAAAGATGCAAGATATCAAAGATTCAGCTTCGACCAGCACTCGGTATGCTGCATCCAAACAACGGAGTCCCTTCCACCCAAATTCCCGAAACCATGGTAGATCAATAGCCCCCAGCCATGATGAGACTGTAGTACCGCCGACTCATTTCGGCCGTCTGTGCAAGGCGTGCGTCGCCCGTCAAAGGCAGACTGAGTACGCTGGACAGCTCGATTGCCTGAAGTAGCAACTTGTCAGAACCAGCATTTTCGTGAGTCGTGTCAATGGAACAACGTACCTTTGAGTCCTCATGCCCAGTCCAAGTGGCAACCACGCGGCTCATTTCCCGGAAGGCTACACGTTCCTCTAATCCTTCCACACCCGATCCCTGACTGACCTTGTCGCCCATCTTCACCAAGGCACTTACTAACCGGGCAAGCCGGGTAGCATCGCGCTTGCCGCTCTTGGCCGTAGCCAGGCGCAGGAAGTCGTCGTAAATGCCACCACCATTGGCCCAGCCGCGCACCTTTCGCTCAGGTTCCTCGCCAAAGCCCGACACCAGCATCTCTAGCGTGCCATAGTCACCCTCAATCACGGCAGTTGGCGCCACAACACGACAGAAGGTAGCGTGGGCATCGTTCCAGTTCTTGCCACGGACAAGATAGTCCACTTCGCGTGCCGCATCACCCGTGTCGCGAGCATAAAGCGCCTTCGAAACCCAGATCCAGCTCTCAGGCAGCTGAAGATCATGCGTAAGATAAGTCCACATCACGTTGGTTTGGCCGTCTGAGGTGACCGGCTCCGGCAGCTGGGGCGCAAACCGGGCTAGAGTCTCCTTCACAGCACGCTCGCGATCGGATGCATGCGAGAGGTGGAGGAGGACGAACAGTGCCCGGTTCACAGTGCCACTGCAGCAAAGCTCCCAAGCATAGTCCCACACGAGCTGGTCCAACTGCGCCGTGTTGACTTGGAAACTTTCGTGCTGCCCAATGGCTGCCGCAAGAATGTGACAAAGCTGGAAGGACAACCGGCTTGACTGCTTATCCCCGCTGACCGACTCAGGCAGGAGAACAGCCGGGAACTCCTGTGGATGGAGATTGGCCGTCCGAGCAGCTCCACCAGTTGTCGTGGCATACACTTTCAGCAAAACCCATAGAGGAGATTCGCGATCTACGATGTCTTCCTGGTTGTAAGGCGTCGGAAGGGCCGGCTCATTCCCTTCGTAGAGGTCGTCCACGAACTGGCAGACGGCAGCTTCGATGGGCTCATCGTCGGTGATACCATACCAGAGACGAAGGCCGAAAGCCTGGAACCAATCCAACTCAAATCGCTCAGAGAAGGTGAAAGTAGAAAGACGATCCTCCAGCGCACCAGTGGTTTTGCCTTCGCTGCGAAGGGCGTTGCCGGCTAGAAGTTCGTACAAAGCTCGGACGGGCTCGCTCATTTCAGAATACACATTGTTCTGGCGCCACATTTCAATCTGTTTAGCCATATCAGTGCGCGTCGTGGGATCGCGCGCGATCTGAGCAACCAGTGTCGCGAGATGGAAATTCTGACTAGCAATCAGGACCTTGCAAGCCTCCTCAACCCGATGCAAGCATAACAAGTAAAAGGCACGCTCCTCGGCTGAGCTGGCCTTGGCCACAGCCTGTGCATGCTTTTCACGTACGATACCTTCCCACAGACGGGTCAGGCGGTCTTTCTTGATACGGTGAATGTACTTGGAACGAAGATTGGGTGGCACGCCAGCGGAAATATCATCCTCAGTCTTGTCGTTGAAGAGGATGTTGGCCAGCTGCCAGAGAAGTCGCTCGTGGTCAGATTGTACCAAGTTCGAAGCTTGCACGAATTCCCGGAAGTCGGCCTTTGCCAGACGAGCAAAGGGAACCCCGTCAACACGTGAAACGGCAGTCAGCTTCCTCTGGGCATCCAGCATCTCACTCGGTTCCACGGGTGTGTTGTATTCCAAGAGAGCCACATCCCTTCCTTCGCTAGTCACAGAAAGCTTGTGCCTCCAAGCGCTATCAACCGCCTGCATGTCCGACATATCATTCTTGGCGCAGAGAAGAGAGTTCAGCGTGCCCCAACGCGGTTTGAATGATTGATGGAAAGCAAGGTCGTCTTCGCTTAGCTCGTGGGATTCGCCAGCAAAAGTCTTGGGCTTCTTGTTATAAGGCCACTATAGGGACAGATGGTATTAGTTTAGGCTGTTGACAAACGTGGGTTCAGGGCTCAAGTCATATTGTATCGCATCACCTCCTACAATACAACTTCCCATAGGGATAATAATAAAGGAATATAAGAGATCGGAAAGAAGGAGTCAAACCTCAAAGCCATTAGGCCGCACGCTTTGTGCCTTCAAAGGAGATGCGGCCTGTTGTTTGCGTGGTTGCTGAAACAAAGAATTCATCAAATCGATGCTGGTGGCGAAGCCCTTTTGCCTGGTATCGGCGGCAGATGGCTTGGGGGTATCCTCACGGAGAGACCGGTCGGTAAAGGCATTGGCTTGGATCTCACGAAGTGCATCGCGATCTTGCTTCCGGGGACTGATGGTGCGTTGCAGATGCTCCGCCCAGTCTCCAGTAAGGTCGAGACGAGGTTTCGAAGGCGTGTTCCAAGGCTTCAATACAGGCTGGGTGGTCTCCATAAAGGTATCGGTGCTTTGGGTGTCATCGCGCTCCACGGTAGGATGGAGGTCTGGAAAGGTGCCCGCCATGTCCATTTCCTCGCCCTCATCCAATTCGACTAGTGACTCGCCAGAATGTTGGCTTTCGGTGATATCATCGCCGTCTTGCTCAATAGTCGAACCCGTGGAGCCTTCCCCTAAAAAAGACTCCTCATCGTCTCCAGAGACCGAACGCTGGTCCTCAACCGTCTCCATCATTTGGTTGCCAAACGCACCCGGGACAATCTTACGCTTTTTGAAATCAAAGGTATCATCGTCGACGCCAGCCATTGAACCCACAAAGGAGTCATCAGTGGAGAAGGCAGACATCATCTCCGAGCCCATGGTCGTATCGGGGTTGGCGGGGGTTTGAGCCTTCGGAGTCGGAGTGTCAGGAGCAGCACTAAAAGTGCTTTGGTTGAGGCTCTCACCTTCTTCTTCCTCGTCGCTATCATAATCAAGACCATAGGTGGTGTAATGGGGCACCCGGAACACCCACGTGCCGGTCTCCTTTTCGTAGTCCACGAACTCGGTGTTGTGCACCTTTATCAAGCGGTCGACGTGCTTATCGAACAGAGGGCCGCTGGTGAGAGGGGAAGGTGACTTCTTGTCGCGACCCCGAGGCCAAGAATTTTCGATGCGAAGGGTGGAGGGAACGTTCAGGCCCTTGCCCCTCGGGGGCTTGATGGTCTCATCCGGATACACGGTGATCTTGCGCACACCGATGTCTACAAGGTCGCCGAAAATGCGGTCCAAGTCCACGGTGGTCAGATCAACGGGCTCATCGAACGTCACTTGGCCGCACCTTTGACGACCAACAGTAAAGCCAACAAACTTCTTCTGCTGCTCTCGGCTCAGCTTGCTGATCTCAGCGCGGGTGGGCTTCATCCAGTACTCGCCCGGTTGCGGGTCTCCACCAGGAACGAAAGGCAGACGAGAGGGGCCCTCAGGAGTAGTTGAGGTCGTCGCCGCATTCTCGGGGACAACGGCAAGCTCATTACCACGAACAGACTCCATCTCAGGACGGATAGAAGGCTCGCTAGGCTTGATGCCATTGAGGCCATTGACTGTGTTGCTCTTGCGGATGGAGCGCAGGAATCCCAATTCCTCCGGAGTAGGCTCGGGGCTTTGAGACTGCACCGGAACGATCTCTCCTCCAGTGGCTGGCGTATCCGACGATGAATCGAAGCTGACCTTCTTCTTCATCTTATCGGCCGGCTGTGCTGCGTCTTCGCCGTTGGTGATCGGGGCAGCTGGGGTACTGGCTGGGCGAGCAAAGAGGTCATTCCTCAGGCTACGATCAATGGTGAGGCGCTTCAGGCTGCCGCTTGACAGACGGGAGCTGCCAGAGGTAAGTGCACCGGGCGACAAGACACTGTCGGTGTCGGGATCGAATGTCTTGCGCAGATTGCTGGTAGACAAACTCTTGCTAAAGCTCGAGCGCCCAAGACTTCCATTGACACTTCCACGCAGGCTTCCACCCAGCACGCTGCCACCAAGTCCGCTAGGAGTACCAGCAGAGCTCGAAGGTGAGCCATAGGTGGAGTAAGAGAATCCGTATCCCTGGCGTTTGGGGGGTGTAAGAAGGCGGTTAGCGGCATTGGGGGTGATCTTATAGACAGGGAGCGGAGTGCGCTGCTTCTGTTTGGCGGCAGACGAAAGTGGCGTCGCCAAGGGGCCAGGGCTGGAAGCGCTCGGGGCTGGCAAGCCAGAGAAGATGGACTGGTTGCCATAGGGGTTGCCGTCCAAAAGAGAGGCCTGCAAGCTACCAGGGGCCGGCTGTGATTGCTGAGCTTGCTGGGGCTGTGCCTGCTGGCTGCCGCCAAAAAGACTCGAGGTACCAAGCCCCCCAGTCTGCTGAGGCTGACTCTGCGTGTTACCGAAAAGCGAACCGCCGGTGCTCGGAGTCGTGGTGCTCTGTCCTCCGAAGAGAGAACCGCCGGTTCCAGTGCCACCGCCGAATAGACTCGGCTTCTGCTGCTGCTGGTTTTGGGCGCCGCCAAACAGGCCACCACCCGTCTGCTGGTTCTGAGTATTACCAAAGCCGCCAAATGCGCTGGTGCCGGTGCCGGTGCCGGTGGCAGGCGTGCTGCCGCCGAACAAGCTCTTCTGGCCCTGCTGCTGGCCTCCGCCGAAAAGGGAGCTTGTGCCGGTTTGCTGGTTGTTTCCAAAGAGCGATCCACCAGTCGACTGCTGTTGTGGTTGCTGAGTGTTCTGGCCAAAGAGAGAAGAGCCAGTCGTGCCGGTGCCAGTGCCAGCCCCAGTATTGCCGAAGAGACTCGGGGTACTGGACTGCTGCTGCGTGTTTGAGCCGAATCCGCCAAACAATCCTTTGTTCTGAGTCTGCTGCTGATTTTGGGCTTGGTTTTGCTGACCGAGCCCACCTCCGAACAAGCCGGTACCGGTTTGCTGCTGTTGTTGGCCGCCAAAGGGAGAGGAGGTCGCAGCAGTACCACCAAAAGGAGAGGCGGCGCTTGTGTTTTGCGCGCCAAAGGCGCTGCCAAAACCTGTGCCGGTGGAGCCACTGTTTCCGAATAGAGGCTTCTGTTGTTGGGTATTGTTATTCGCGCTGCCACCAAACAGAGATCCGCCGGTTCCAGCACCAAAGCCGGTGGTTCCTGTGCCGCTTCCAAATCCACCCGTAGTAGCAGTAGTAGATGTGTTTCCACCGAAGAGGCTTGGCTGGGAGGTGCCAGTAGTACCAGTTCCACCTCCAAATAAGGAAGTGGCCGGCTTTGCTGCTCCGAACAAGGGGTTGGAGTTGGTGCTAGATCCAAATCCACCCGCCGTCTGCGTCTGTCCAAAGGTCGAGGGAGCACTGGTTCCGCCTCCGAATGGCGTGGAAGTGCTTCCAAAGCCGCCGGTCGACTGTTGTCCAAAGCCAGATCCACCAAAGGCCGATGTGCCAAAGGCACCGGCTTGGCCGCTACCGTTGCCGAACCTACGGCCTTGGTTGTAATCACCTAAGCGAAGTTCTTCAAAGGAATACTTGCTGTACGGCTGCATGAAGGTGATACTTTGGTAGTGATTCATCCCCGTGGTGTTACCATCCTTCTCAGTGAAGGGACTAAATGGCGTGCTTCCAGTGCCATCAGAGGGAGGAATGGCTTGCTGGAAGGCAGTTCCTGTCCCGCTACCGAAGCCCGATGCGGTACTGCCGAAGCCACCAGTGCCACCGCTTGTACCGAATCCACCAGCGGTGCCAGCTGAGCTGCCAAAACCCCCAGTTTTGTTGCCGAATAGCCCACCCCCAGTGCTAGCGGCAGTGCCAGTGCCAGTGCCAGTGCTGCCGAACCCTCCGCCAGTGTTGGAGGACGTTCCGAAGCCGCCGAACCCGCTACTACCACCAGCTGTGGCAGTTCCGCTTCCGAAAAGGCCTCCTCCGGTCGAAGTTCCAGTTCCGAATCCACTCGTGCGATTTTGTCCTCCAAACAGGGACGTCGACTGATTCTGCGTGCCAGTTCCGAATCCTAGAATGAAGAAAGACCTTGAGTCAGTTTCGCTAACATATTAAAAGAGTAGACAGATCCTGGGACATCTGATTAGAATCCATCCTTGGGCCATGGATCTCCGGCGGTCAATGGACGACAATTGATGTGAACGCATTCTCCTCATCCAGAGACTTTTTGCCTTAAGAGCCGGCGGTGAGGGTCCTCGAAAGCGCCATTTCGGTCACGGATCGGTGATCGAGCACAGGAAAGTCGAGGGGTCCGCCCCAAGGCACAGGTGGAAGAGAAAGGATCGCCAAGCCCACTGAGATATAGCCGTCAGGCACGTACCTCCACCGGAACCAAAGCTACTGGAGGTGTTTCCAAACAAGCCACCACCGGATGTATTACCGCCACCAAAGGGAGACGATGTCGATCCAAAGCCTAGATGACGGGGGAGATGCTGTCAGAGACTGTATTGAAGCTGCGATCCCTTCTCTTGCAGTGCTGCTGTTTTGCCCCGGTGTCGAAGCCATCCACGGGCGGTCGGTGGTGGGAGGAGCCTAATAGGACGGTCGCAGCTCGACGTTCGGAACTACCAGCAAATACCGATCCTTTTGCACCGGAGAGTCTCAAGGGACGAGGTAAAAGGAAAAGAAAAGTAACCCGGGATAACCGAGGACGGGGTTCGCAACCAGACGAAGACACCTACCTCCACCAGTACTCGTGCCACCAAAGCCAGAGCCTGCCCCGAAGCCGGAGCTTTGCTGGTTGTTTTGTCCGAAACCTCCGAACATCTTGTTGAATGATGATGCTTTATATTAGGGAGTCATTCGGTTCGAAGGACGTCTGCGATCGAAGGTTGGAAGGCTCGGGAAGATCGTTTAGAACGACGATGATTAGAGCTCCGTATGAATGGATATTTTGCGAAAAGAACAACCGTAGCGCGCTAGCGTAAGATAAAGCGACAACGTTGCGTAAGTTTGGAAAGACGATGTCGACGCGCTGGTGAGCACGGGTGTTTGTTTTGAGAAGGGAAGAAAAGAAGAAAAAAAAGGTGAAAGGGTAAAAGTGACGAAAAAGGCCACACTAGCTACAGACGGAAAAGTACCGTCGGAGCTAGTAGGTGAGCAAGTCTGAAGGGAATCGACTTGAGTGGCAGTCGGGGAAAAAAGTGACGAGGTGAAGCAGAGGGAGGAGGACGCGCGACGGTGGTCGAGGGAAGAAGCTGCGAGAGCCAAGGAAGAGAAGAGAGAGAGGGAGGGAGAGCGACGGCAGGTTCCCTTCCTGCCTGACTGGCTCGTTGCTGTCGCTTAACTATGGGAAGGTCGGCCATGTCAGGTATGGTACGGTCACGGCGTGACGGGGCGGTGTGCTCACTGGAGTGGGGAATGGAACCGGGTGGCCGGGTGTTGATACCGTTGCATTACGACAATGGCACGTGATGCGACGGAGACTGAATCGGGAGCCCGACCGGATAGGCCAAAGGAATATTGACACTGGATGCTTGCATCCCGATAACAATCCCATCCCCAAATGGTGTCCGGCTTCACAGTAGCTGTGTCAAGTCTCCCACTACTGATGCAGCATATTTACGTTATGTTGACTCCCCGTAACTACGCCTGAGGAGCCCGACTCCGTATCAGTATATCGGTCCAATGGGGTACTGTTCCTAAGGTGTAACCCTGGACGTTCCCATCAACTACTAGTAGACTACCTACTAAGTAGTAATAGAGAAAAGAGACCCCGACAAGTGCTGTCACGTGAAGGCACACCCCAAGCTACATTGGACAACAAAAAACGTTCATATGAAGAAAAGAAGTTATGTATATTGAAACGGTGACCAGCGATCACCCTGAATGTTCATCTGTCAAACACGTTGGGAATCACTAAACGGGGTTTATAGGAATATGACTGCGCCTCCGGACAATTGTGTCCACCCAATAATGCTAATCAACTCATCATAACATCCTGATTAATCGCTTTCATTTCATGGCTGTGAATATTGCTCGTCTTGAATTCGGGTCATGCGAAGATCTTATTTGCCGCGGGAAGCGTGCACCGTGGCAATGATCTTGTCAACAACCGAAGGGTCCGACAGCTGTTACAGGCTTGATTAGTCTCCATTTCCAACATAGGCAAGAATGGGTGTTGTCTTACAGTAGAAGTGTCACCCAGGCTGTCCTCCTCGCCGCTCAGGATCTTCCGGAGAATACGGCGCATGATCTTACCGCTACGGGTCTTAGGGAGATCCTCGACAACGTAGACGGCCTTGGGGGCAGCGAAAGGTCCAATGGACCGACGGACCTGCATGATCAGATCCTTGCGGACCTGGTCGTTGGTCTCGTTGCCCTCCTTCAGGGCCACGAAAGCGTTGACGGCCTGACCGGTAAGCTCGTCGGCGATACCAACAACGGCAGCTTCAGCCACCATGTCTACCATTACTGATTAGTGGCTGTTGTATATATGGCGGTGTCTTGCGGTAACTTACGGTGCTCAATGAGGGCGGCTTCAATCTCAGCCGTGGACAGACGGTGTCCAGAAACGTTAACCACATCGTCAACACGACCCCGGATCCAGTAGTATCCGTCGTGATCACGGCCGGCACCATCTCCAGTGAACTATAAGCGCAAGTCAGTCAGCTACTGCCCATGGAACCATGTTGTCTCGCAGAGGTGCGGATGTCGCTTACGTAGTAGCCCTTGTAAACGTTCAGGTAGGTATCCATGTAGCGCTTGTGGGCGCCCCACACGGTACGGGCCATGCTCGGCCAGGGTTGCTTGAAGGCAAGCACACCCTCCACATCGTTGCCAGTGATCTCTTCACCAGAGACCGGGTCAATGATGGCGGGCTCAATACCAAAGAAGGGAAGCGACGCGCTTCCGGGTTTCGTCGGGGTGATACCACCCAGAGGAGTGATAACATTCGAACCCGTCTCAGTCTGCCAGTAGGTCTGTCGAAGCGTATTAGACTACCTTTCCTAACAAGGAGAACCGATAAATCACTTACATCGCAGATGTGGGCTTCCTCCTTTCCGACCACCTCGAAGTACCATTTCCAGACCTCGGCAGCGATAGGCTCACCGACAGAGCCCAGGACACGCAGGTGTGCCATCTTGTGGTGAATGTGCTCGTCACCAGCCCGCTTCAGAAGTCGCAGGGCGGTGGGTGCGACGTAGAATTGGGTCACCTTGTGCTTCTCGATCACGTCCCAGTAGCGGGAGAAGTTGGGGTAAGCCGGGGTACTCTCGAAGACCACGGTAGCGCATCCGAGCAGCAAGGGCGCATACACGACGTACGTGTGGCCGGTAATCCAGCCAACGTCACCACCGCAGAAGTAGCGGTCATCGTCGTGAATATCAAAGACATACTTGCCGGTCATGGCAGCACCCAGGAGGTAACCAGCCGTGGTGTGCATGACACCCTTGGGCTTTCCGGTGGATCCGGAGGTGTAGAGCAAGAAGAGAGGATCTTCCGAGTTCACCGGCTCAGGAGCAAGGTAGTTGGGGTACTTCTCGACCTCCTCGTGCCACCAGACATCACGGCCCTTGGTCCAGGGAACCTCCGCGCCGGTGCGCTTGTAGACCAGGACGCTGGTGACATCGGGGCACTGCTTCAGAGCCTCATCGACAATGCGCTTGGTGCCAATGACCTTTCCTCCACGCTTGCCCTCATCGGTCGTGATGACGACCTTGGAGCCAGCGTCCAGGACACGGTCCCGGAGAGAGTCGGAGGAGAAACCGGCGAAAACAACGGAGTGGACGGCACCGATACGAGAGCAAGCCAAGAAAGCGACAATGGCTTCGGGAATCATGGGAAGGTAGATAGCAACGGTGTCACCCTTCTTCACACCCTGCTGGCGGAGAACCCAGGCAACACGAGACACCTCGCGCAGGAGTTCACCGTAGGTGATTGTGCGGCCCTCGCTGGGCTCATCAGCCTCGTAGATGATGGCCACCTTGTCGGGGTTCTTGAAGGCATGGCGATCGACACAGTTGTAAGAGGCGTTCAGACGACCCTCAACGAACCAGGCATTGTCGCCATTTTCCAACGACCCACTGTGGGTGGTCTGGAAGTCTTGGTCGAAGTGAAGCAATTCGCGGGCCATACGAGCCCAGAAAGTGTCTGGGCTGCGGATGGACTCCTCATACAGCTTCCGGTACTCGTCAAGGTCTTTCAGGTGGGTACCTGTCGGGTGCTTCTGGTGGAATGCTTCGGGGACATGGAAGGTGTCGACTTCGTGGGCCTCGACCACCTGAAACCGACGGGATTAGCACGGAGACCCGGCGATAACTCGGCCAAATACGCGCGATTTCTTACCACGGAGGACTTGGGGGGCATAACACTGCCGTCGGCCATGTTTTGTGTCCCAACAAAAATGTGTGTTTGAGCTGTACTAATGTTAGAAAGGGATGAGACAATCCAATTGCAAGATAAATCCTCTTTCTGGTGGGCAAAAGGGCGAGGGGTTCAATTCGTGGCACCGGAGTGCACGTGAGTTTGCGGGCGGGGGAATTAAGCTCACTTGTCAAAAGAATTGCAGCACTGCTGGTTGGTGGGGTTCAGGCAGAGTTTCGCGCAAGGGAAGGAGGGTTTATCACAAAAGGGAGAATTGTAGGAGGGAGAAAGAGGCGGGAGAGGGAAAGGAGTAGAGAGGAAAGATGCAAGATTGGGAAAGGAAAAAAAGAGGAAGAGAGGAGGGGGGAAAGAAAAGCAACTGGTGCCCAGGATGGGGAAGAGAGACAGTTATTTATTGAACCCAATGCCCGAACTAAAAAGAGGGATGTCCCTTTCAGAGAGAGACAGTTTTATGATTTTAATTGTTGAGAGAGTCCCGCTCCCCCGGTGTCCGGGTGGAGGCGCGCTGCTACTTCAGGCTTGGTTCAGGCTTGGTTCAGGCTTGGTACCGTCGTAGCTTCGTACTGGCCAAGGTTGTACTGCTCCCGGGCTGCTAAGGTACCTCCTCAATACTACTTACTACTTTTACTATCACCCACTACTCCGTACTTCCTCCCCTTAATCCATCCGTCCATCCTACTTACCCCAAGTCAACCTTCTTTCCCTTCCGCGCGACCGTGTAGGTATGATTAACCTTGTCGGACCAGGGTTCAATCCTTACTTTTCTGGATCGGCTATGCAGATTAACCTAGATCTTACCGGGTGTGAGTTCCAGAGCAGTAATTCCCCCTCTAATTGCTCCTCCCCCTCCTCCATTGGATTGAGATCATGATGCCGTATGGAGGCGCTGGTCTATTTCCCACCATGGACGATACATACTACATACATACCTGACTAGTCATGCTTGTCGCTCTAAGCGCCTCTCCACTCTCGGGACAGCCACGACTACTGTAGCATAATAAATCAATAATAATAAATTACCATAACAATTAACATAAATGAACGGGTTGAGAGGAGGGGGAGGGGGGGTGGAAGGATTGTTCTGGATGCGGGTCATCGATAAACGGACTAGGGACAGTCTTTTCCCGGCAGGCCCTCGCAATGTCACTGGACAGACAACCTCCTGCATTGGCGGCTGCAATCCCAGTCCGTTGCATTCGCTCGCACTATCCAAGACTAGTTCGGCGTAGTTCAAACGCACCGCCAAAGGTTGGGCTCGGCCATGCGGGGCTTGACAGGCTCTCGTTTCCGTTGCTCCGGGGAAGGTAGTCGATGATCAACTAGTAGCGAACAATCATACACGTTATTCGCCAACCCCCCTCTACCTGGAGATTCCGACCTATTCACTTGGGTACACTATTGCGACGCTCGCGTCTGCGAGGTGTTGATTGTGACCTTAGTCTGCTTCGATTCTTGTCCATCATTGGACTGCAGGCCAATCATCAATTGCCCACTAAGGTAATTGTCGCAGCAGAGGCGACTGTTATTAACCTAGGTGGTCACCTCCGACAGCAACTGCACATTCGTATCCACGGTACGCCATGGCATGAAATGGCACAGGGAGATATTAGCTCCGTGATCCTGGTGGCGTTCAGCCGACCAACATCATCATTATCATCAGCTCTGCCCCAGATTCGCTCACAGGCAGACGGGGGGTTGAAACTTTTGGGTTTCCGGGGGATGGCGGGATGGTATCACAAGAACACTCGCCAAGCACCCCGATCGGAGGGGTCAATCAGCACTGGAACGTGTCCATTCTGGATGCGAGGCTTGAACCGTGCGGGGGAACCAAAACCTTAGCTGCGCTTTTTAAAGGGAACTGCTCATAGTAAGATTCAACGGCACCGTGGATGAGAGAAAAGAGAGTGAGCGGATCTACGGAGGTACTCTGGAGCAGTCAGATATCCAGAGAGCAATCTAAGGTGGTGAAGTAGATAGCAGTCAAGCTAATCAGCATTTAACTACACCTTCCACATGCACCTCAGCGATAGATCGCTGTGAGCATCCCCTGCATCGTTGTTTGAGGTATTATCTATTAAGATACCTCGGTGGGCGATCCAATAAGACGCCCAGAACAATGGATGTGCTGCTGTTCGCGGAAGTTTCACTGAAACCGGATTAGGGAACCCCCTGTATGGCCCACAGCCAGTGCCTGAAGGGCTGACCAGGAAGATGCAGTAGTTCGAGATACTAATTACGAGGGAGATAGGTAAATGGGAGGTCATCTTGCATTAGTGAGATTATTGCCGGTGAACAGAACGTGGAAATAGATGGCCTTGCAGAGCCGAGGCCTGAATGGAATGGTTGTTCTTTGAAGGCACACCAGGTTATCGCGATCACAAGCATAAATGAGTAGATTGAGTAGCGGGTCAAGCCGAAAATTATGTTAGATAGCGATTGAAGTTGTTTGTCCATCTGCCATAACTGCCATATCGGTAGAAAGCTGTGTTTCACTGTAGTACTGATGTCCGTCCATAGAAGAAAGTGCCAACCCACCTGACTTGGCTGCGTACACAATGATCAACGCATTGAAGGAAGGTGCATGTTAGTGGATCAGGGGATTACTTCATGTCTCTGATTCTTCTTCCATGTGCTCTGAAAGTAGCAATATCCTTCCAAACTTCCCCCAGTAATAATATCTGTAGAAAGGGAATAACTCCAGGCTACGGAACGTTACGGCAGTACTTTCCCTAACGAGGAAGAACTGACTGACCCATTACGGCAATGAAGCTGCCCGTGACTTGCTCATCTCTCAACAATGCCGAAAAGGGGATTGTCTGCTATTTTTGCCCACTCGGTAAAGACAGATGATCAGCTGGGCTGGGACGAAACACTTTCCTCGACGCGCGGGTCGAGGGACAATCGGGATAACCGTGGTACTGCTTGCTGGGGGTTCGGCTATCGCTGCCTGGCTCGTTGCTCCTTCTCCCCGTTCCCGCGGACTTCTCTCGGACCTAGGCTTTGGTTTCTCCAGCTTTCCTGTACGGAGAACTGGAAGCTCTGCGTCTTGTCTCTTCGGACAGCCGAATATTCAGAATAAAAAAAATAATGGACATAACATTGTCTGCGATGGCACATCATTCCAGGGGGGAAAAATCACTCTGCGACTGATGTCGCAACGAGAGCAGAGTCAAGACTCCCTAAGAGAGCCTACAAACACCACCCCCCACCACAACTAAGGACCGAAAGTACCACAGTTCCCTCAATTGTGGGGAGCTTTGTGGGTGTGGCCGCCTTGATTGGATGTGGATTAGACCATCGATCCGACAAGAACGGTTTGTTCATGTTTATAATGCCATTACGGAGCAACTTCCACCATCAGAACTAGAAGCATTAATATTGTGGAGGCCATCCGGCAGAATTCCGTTCAACTTTTGCAGGCCTCGAATCTGCCCCTCCAACATGTCCACCTTCAAGCATCGTTTCGGCAAGGGAACCATACTTTTGTGCCCATAAATATGGATACATCGTCCCTTTCGTCGCTTCTCTCCCGTGAGAGATCTTCAATCCTGACTCCTTCGCGTCCGTGTGTGGTAATAAGGTGAGTGCGTTCGGGTCCCGGGTGTGCCGTTTAGTCCCTACCCACACTGCCGACTACAGAGCCCTCATGCTAATCGAGACCCTCCAGCTGTTAGCAAATCAACGTCCTTAATTGTCGCTGGTGGCTCGGCCACTTCATTTATCCCAGCCTCTAGGGAGCCTCCCGATACGGTGTCAAGCCCACCATACCCCCCCCGTTTCCGCTTATCATTGTCAATCAGTTATCTCGGTAGCCCCCTGCGCGGAGTGGCATCTCTACAAGATATTGCAGGTGTATAATCGCCTGCTTGGATATTGCCTGGATACTGCATTCCAGATGTATAGCAGGTTACGTACCCCAACCGGTGAGAGCATGCGCCGCCTCCTCTCAACACTCAGAAAGACCCATTCCATCCTGCTTGAGCCCTATCTTTCTCAACCAGGACCCAGAGGCCGTGGCCTTTCCCGCCTACGCTATAGTTTAGTGCCGGCCGCACTAAGCTTCTCGGTCCGCTTTTGCCATTTCGACGTCTGAGCCCGCCGCCAGACTTTAGTAGCCAACCGGTGTGCGGATGGTTAGAAACGGCGAATTTCTGGCCCGTCCTGCATCTACTAAACACGGCGGTAGGAAAAGTCCGTCCCAACTCCCAATAGCCCCCCTGCAAGTGTAAATTAATAACGTCTTGGCCCTGCCCGTTATTAATTTCCAAGTCCACCCGATGGATCAGTACGCGTTGTGCTGTGGCCAAGTTTGGTGAGGCATTGGTAATGGCTGCGAGAAGTTTTCAACTTTTCACAGCTAATATCAACCTCATTTCTGGGAGCGAGCGCACAGGCCAGTCGGAGTCCGGAGGAGAAATCAACCGGGCCAGAACTGAGTCGTTACGATAGTATAGGGTCGAACTGGGCGACCAATATATCTCGCACGTAAGTGTACCCCCTAGATTGTACTTTTGGACAGTTACACCCAAGCACGTGGGAGCTGCGACTGCAACTGCATCCGCCTAGTATACTAGTCGATGGCAAAAGAACCACCCCAGCAAGCATCAAACTATCAAACGTTATGCCAGCAAGTTCACATGCAAAATGCAAGAATTGCATAATATATTCTTAAGCACAGCAGAAACATCCATGCCATAATAACCACAAAGAGAAAAGGGAACCACATGCAAACCCAATCCCCCAGTCACTACAGACTACTCCCTATCTAATAAGCCATCCACTCCCGATGCCACCAATTCGCCATCCCAAACAAAAACAACACAATACTCCCATCCCTGGCAATATCCCTAACCAACTGCACCCACAACCCCAACCCCCCTCCCCCCCTCTTCATCATAACCCTCGCCCCAGTAAGCACCACCTCACCCGTCGTAAAGAACAAGAACGGATTCCTCGCCGTCGCTGGCGGCGGCGGCTGACTCCCAAACGTCGCCACCGACGACCCAATCAACACCAACAAATACACCCCAATCAACACAGAAAACACCACATGCAGCACCTTCCACACCAGAATCTCCCGCTTCTCTTCATCACTCTTCTTCCGCGTCGCCTCCCCCAACATACTCGCCACAAACGGCGGAACTCCCAACCCAGTCAATAAGTCCGCCGGCGACTGACCTCCAGGCAAAGAGCCCTCACCCAGCGCACTGGTATCCCCGGCCATCAGGCTCGAGAGAAGCTTAAGTGTTGGATCGTCCGCTTCGCCACCTAGTCCTCCCATCCCTCCTGGTCCTGCTGCTCCTGCTTGAGGTCCCGGGCTCCCACTGGGTGACTCGCCCGGCTGGCCAGACTGGCGGAGTAGGGCGCGGAAGAGCTCCTGTTGCGCTTGGAGGGTTTCAGGGTCGAGTTCTTGCTGTTGCTGTTGCTGGGGTCCTTGGCTTGGGAAAGAGGGTTGTGTAAATCGGGGTTCGGGGGCCGGGCTCGGGCTCGGACTGGGACTCAGTGCTGTAGTGGTAGCTTGTGGTTGTGCTGCGGCCGCGGCCGGGGCCGGGGATGGAGATGGAGAGGGAGAGGTTTCTTCGCGGACTGTACATTAAGCAAATACTGAGTTAGCTTACTCACACACTATCTTTCTTTCATTTTTTTCTTTCTTCCGCTCATTCCATAGGAGTGAAAAGAAATAATATGACAACATACGACTAGCAGGAGTCCGTCCACTCAAACTGGTAATCTTGTCTAGACGAGCTGCTCCATCGCCTTTGATTTTGGCTTCGCGACGTTCGCGACGCAGGCGGGCTGCTCGTTGAGCGGGGGATTCTTCGGCTGAGGACATGATTTCTTCCCTAAGTGTCTTTTCTTTTCCCCGTTTATGTATATGAGGTTCACTCGTTGGTGGTTGTGGTGATTGATTTCGTCGGTTGGTGTTTTGGGTGACGTAAGTTCGTTCAATCGGTGTGGGTGAATTGTTTAACGGGCCAGGAAGGACAATGTCTTTCTGGGGGATCGTAGATTGAGGAGTTCGACGGGAGCGATTGGATACCGCTCCAGGGAATAAAGTGAAGGTGGAGGTAGAATTTAAATTGAGCCACAGGTTGTTGCGGCGGCGGTGATAGCTGATTATCTGTGATGTGGTGGCCGTATGACGGTAGGCTCCGATGGTGGATGGTGGTCACGTGACTGTGTGTGTATAGCTTCGTGGTGTACGGAGTATTTGTTTGGGTTTTACTTCGCTATTTAGCTGTTTTGGTAGCTTAATATGTATAATGAGCTGTTGGTTGGATGAACTGAGATCTTGGTTCGTGAAAAATTTAGAGGATCAGGATTCAATTTTGCTACTACACTACTACTACTACTAGTAGCTCAAAATATATACTTTTAGGGTAAAAATCATCCGGCATTATGATGTTTTTCTTTTTCATTATCTCTGGCAGTGCCAAGTAGTAAAAGCAGCTATATTATTGTTTATGCCTTCAATTGCACGTAGATAGTTCTTGGGGTCGGTCCCTGGAGAAGAATCAGCTCGATGATCGCCCATTGAAGTACTTCAGACTAATAGCCAACTTACACGGCCCTCGGTCCAGATCCAGCTTAGCTCTTTGCCCATACCAAAACATGTAATCAGCCGTTGGTCCGATGCAGTAGTTCTGGGAGTCTCCAGCTTCATCTGGCGTGCCCACTGCATATAGCGGAGCCTGCAGTTGGGGTGGCAGGTCAGTTCTGAAATACAGGCTTCCAATAGCCCCAAATGGTATGCTGAAAAGCTTCTTCTCAATATCAACGATGCCTGTCACCAAAGCATGCTTTTGGTGTTTTGTATTATTGAACCAACGAGTATCAGCACCGACACCTACGACATGTTCCATGATAATGTACTCTACACCGACTGGATTGTCAGTGGCCGAAGACCAGCCATAAACTTCCGGAACTGGGATCTTCTTAGAGCGAAGAAATGCCAGAGTTGCGACCTCGCTAGCTGTTGCGTAAGTCTTGGGCACTGATATCCAGTAGGGGATCTTTATTATGGCTCGGAATGCATCTTCCATAGTGGCTAGTAGCACACGATTGAAACCTCCCTCACGGAGCTTGACAATGCTCTCAACGCACCTATGACCGACATGCTTCGCAACAGCCTTTGCGAATGCAGAGATATCAAATGTGACATATCGTTCTCGAAGCCGTGCCTGCACGTTGTATAGGAATCGTCCCGAAGAATATGAGAAAAGAGACTCGCTCGATATTGATCCTATATGAAAGATTAATTCGATACTGTGATATCTAGCCGATTCATCACTTACGATTGCATAATGTTGGAAGGTAAGTTGTTAACTTCCTTGGACTCGAGTACATGCAAGGTCGAAGAGACATCAACAATGTGGCCCCGTAGGACAGGGTGTGTCTTGGCCGCGATGGGAGAACAACGATTAATGCAGGAATATCTATAGACCATACATAATAAGGATTGTCGCTACAAAGATGGACGGGGGCTGTTTGCTATTTCCAGGTCTGAGCATGTATTTTCGATGGTTGTTTATTACTGAATTGGGATCTCAGCAGTTGCCTGGACAGTCATGTGATGGCGGGAGCCATCACATCCTCAGTAACTGAACCAGAAATGATTTATACAGAGTACAAAATATTGAAGCGACATTTCGACTTGGATAAAAGATTCTGAAACGTGACTCGGTCGAGTGGCATGTGTTGTGTGCCTCAAATTTGTGGCTAGTAAGGCAGGGTAATCCCTTCCAACAAAATCACCACAACATGTGTCTCATGGGATGGCATGATCTGGTGGAAGATCCTTACTTACTCATACTAGCACAAATCCCTATGATTACTATTCTTATTGTGATCAGCATATGAAATACAGGGGGTTTTGAATTGACTTCTTTGATCGCCTTACAAGATGTTGGTATCATTGATGACATCATATCCCTTTCCGCCTCGAACATCTGTCCATCATCCATCATCAACTTTGAAGGGGAATTGCTACGCATCAAGCCTCAACAGTTACCCCCAATCAATATACCATTGAGGAATACATCTCAATTCCTTATTGATGGTTGCTACGAGTCAGCTACTTCACTGTCAGCCTTATCCTCCTTTGGATCAACTCTAAAGTCCGCCATCCCCGTCATCCACGCCAAGCCCCGGATTTCCGCTGTGAATGACGGAAAACAAGAGGATGCAGCCAGCCAGTCCACTCAACAACCAGCCTCGACTTGTTATAGATCCATCCGGTGGAGAATGTAAATAGACCGACATCAGATCCGGTCTGGATGTTCGGGATCTCCCCCAGCCCTGTGCCAGCAAATGGTCGGACGCGTCCAAGCTCCATTGGCAGCGCCTCCTCCACAATGACGTAGTCCAGTCTGGCAGGGCCAACCTTGACTTTCGCTCTGACTTCACTTACTTGGCTGACATCGCATGAGAGAAGACTTACAACCAGATCTCCTTCCCTCTCATTATCTCTGCTCTCTTCCCATATCAACAGCGGTCCCGGCTTCACGGAGCTAGGGATGATAACCCACTCACCTTACTTCTGATATTTCCTGCATACCTGATCATCCCATCACTATCAACCATGTCGCATGCTCAACCTGGGCGGGAGTCACCCAAGACTCACCGCGTCGGGGAGCATTGGAGCGGAGCCAATCCTGTGCCGACCATCGACAAGTTTCTACAGCGTCTAGAGGTGGATAAACAAGAGCGCAAGGCCCATGAGGAAGCCCTGGCGGCCAAGCGGCGGGAGAAGGAAGAACAGGGAGAGGAAATGGCTCACAAGCCCCGGAAGACAACGGGAAAGACTCGCATGGTGACCGATCCCACGACCGGCAAGGATATTGAAGTGGAGGACCTCGACGAGGATTCCATGGAAGCAGTGAAGGATCCGAAGGTATCCATACCCCATTGGCAATGGTAGAATATGCCACTAACCGTTGATGATTATAGCTGGTGGTCCCAAATGCTAATCTTGGAAAGCCAACGGTGAGTCTATAAATCTAGTCATCTAATACCGAGCGTCAACTAACAAATCTCATAGGACGTCAAAACCGAACCCAACCAAAGCCTTTCCCAGTATAAAGAAAACCAAGATATCACCGCACCCCCCGACCCAATCGCAGAAGGCACCACGTCAGATGTTCCCATTCATGGCGAGAAAACCAACATCCTCTTCCATCCTACTCCCATAGTCACCTATAAACCCATGTTTGACAAGCTGGAGAGCCGTGGTATCGGCCTCTGCCTAGGAATTGTTGCTGCCATTGTCTTCACTGGTCGTATGTTTGGTGGCTCGCTTTGGGGCCTACTGCCTCTAGCATTCGGTGTTGCAAGTGGTGTGTGGTTATGGATACAAGAACTCATTCGAAGCGGCCGGGAGATGGAATGGAGTAGTGAGCAAATCAGAGGCCAAATGGTAAGTTTCCGCTCCCCGTTAAGGTACTAAAACTTACATGTTACGCTGTTAGGCTACTGCAAACCTCCTACCTGAGTCGGTCGAATGGATGAACTCTTTTCTCGGGGTCTTCTGGGGCCTCATCAACCCGGAGATGCTGACACCCGTTGCGGATACCATCGAAGACATCATGCAGGCGTCTGCGCCTGGTGTAGTGGAGAACGTTCGGATTGCGGAGATTGATCAGGGAAACAACCCTATCCGAATCTTGAGCTTGCGGTCTCTTCCGGACTCTCATGTCCAACAACTCAAGGATCACATCCACGAAGAGAACGTGAAGAACAAAGACCCTCAGGAGGCGGCAGCTGCTGAGGAGGGCGGTAGCTACTACAACATCGAGGCCTCCTTTGCCTACCACGCGAAACCGAGCGGACAAACCACTTCGTCCAAGGCGCGCAACATGCACATGCAAATCGTTTTCTACCTGGGAATCAAAGGCCTCTTTGGCGTTCCATTCCCAGTCTTCGTGGAGTTGAACGAACTGGTAGGCACCGTCCGCGCCAGGTTCCAAATGATGCCAGAGGCCCCGTTCATGAAAGACGTGACGTTCAGTCTTGTTGGACTCCCCCATATTAAGGCCGGTTGTATGCCAATGGTCACCTGGGGTGTAAACATCCTGAATCTCCCCTTAATCTCCAACTTCGTCAACTATGCTATTGCTACGGCCAGCGGTCTGTTTGCAGCTCCTAAATCAATGACAATGGATCTTAGCATGATGCTCAAGGGTGACGATATCGTCAAAGAGACCCAGGCACTGGGCATCATGTGGATTCGGATCCATCGTGCAATTGGCTTGAGCAAACAGGACCGACGTGGAAGTTATGGCGGCGGCAGTGACCCTTACATCAACCTCTCTTTCTCCAAGTACGGCAAGCCCATGTACTGTACCCGAGTAATCACCGACGACCTCAACCCCGTCTGGGAAGAAACCGCGGCGTTGCTCGTAACGCCAGAGTTGATCAAGGCGGACGAAGCTTTGAGTGTCGAACTCTGGGACTCGGATCGGACCACCGCGGACGACATTGTCGGCAAAGTGGAATTGCCCATACGCAAAATGATCCAACACCCGGGCAAGATGTATGCTCAGGTTTCCAAGCTCCAGGGCCTCAACGAGGGCAGCGAAATGCCGGGAGAACTGCACTGGGAGGTCGGGTTTTTCGGCAAGCCCAAGCTGAGAGCCGAGCTGAGGACCGACGGCAAGAAGAAGGATCTACCGGAGAACTTCAAGGACATTCCTGAGTTCCAAGACGAAAAGGGTGTCATCAGTACCGATCAAGAGGACGCCATTACCAAGACCCCACCAGATCCGCTATGGCCGAGTGGAATCATGAGCATTGTGGTCCATCAAATCGTGAATCTAGAGATCGAGAACGTCAAAGGCAGCCACGGTAACCGCAAGGGGAGAGACTATGAGCCAGCCAAACCGTATGGCGAGCAAAAAGAGGAGGTTGGAGAGAACTTGCCTACGAGCTACTGTAAAATCATTCTCAATGACGAGCTAGTAAGCTATCCCACACACCCCCTTTTATGATAACATCTCGCCTAACATCTCGCAGATCTACCGTACTCGTGCCAAAGCCCTAAGCTCCAAGCCTATCTTCAACGCTGGAACTGAACGATTCGTCCGAGACTGGCGGTCCGCCTACGTTACCGTTAGCGTCCGCGACCAACGATATCGCCAGCACGATCCTATCCTCGGCGTGGTGCCATTGAAAATTTCGGAGCTCCTTGAAAACAGCTCACAAGTGACCAGATGGTACCCTCTCACTGGCGGCATCGGCTTTGGACGCATTCGCATCTCTATTCTCTTCCGGCACGTTGAGACCCGTCTCCCCCCACAGATGCTCGGCTGGGATGTCGGCACCTTCCATTTCATTTCCGACAAGGTCACCGTAAAGGGCTTCAACCATCGCTGCAAGATTCGCCTCCGCACCGGCGGCAGCAGTGGCAAGATCACTCGTCATGTGTGCCATGTCGAAGGATCCAACATGACCTACGACCTCTCCAGCGAGGACTACCGACGCGCCATCCGTCTCCCCGTCAAGCATCGCTACCGATCGCCCGTCGTCTTCGAATTCCAACAACAAGGCCACCATCACACAACCGCCTATGCCGTCTACTGGCTCCAACACATGGCCGACAACGAAGACACCGCCATCGACATTCCCATCTGGGTCACCAAGAACGGCAAGCGACTCACCCAAAACTATATCACCGAGCAGAACTGCCACATCAAACGCAGCCCTGGCCTCGAGGACCTGCACGAAGTTGGCCGCCTGCAATTCCACGGCTTTTTCAGTCCCGGCATCGACGACTCCCACGAACAATACGTCATTGACAACGAATCCCGCGAGACCTTTGAAACCTGGGAAGCCTGCATCGCCCAGGGTGTCCGCGAACGCCGCATCTCCTCCGACATCCCCGAGGACCTCGAAAGGCTGCATGAACAATCCCTCCTTGACGGCCGCGACATCCTCAAGCACGCCGAGCCCCGCGAACGCCGCCGCTGGATTGACAAGCAAGGCCAGGATTGGAGCGGCGCCTTCGGCCACGACCCAGGCGCCTACCTCAACAACCACGGCAACCAGGTCGCGGAACCGGGGCGTGAGACACCACCCCACGACCCCGTGAACCCACCTCCCACCGTCGCCCAGTCTTACGGCACCATGCACGATGAAGAAGCCCGGCACCAGAACTCCCAAGAACAAGAGCAAGAAGAGAAAGATGCATCCTCATCCAGCGAAACCGAGGATGACATGGATGACGATCACTACCCCAATCAACAGCAGCGTGTCTCACAAAGTACAGCGTCCACTGGCGGCGCGAGCAGCAGTGCCGGGCCTCCCAGCCTCTACAGTATAGATGACGGAGCACATAAGAAGGCGAATAAACG